TTCGACTTCTTCTTTACTTTCTCGTATTCTTTGCTCAATTCGATTCCTGCTCTCTTCAACTCCTCGTCTCTTCTGGAAGGCCCATCAAATGTGCAAATAAAGTTATTCGCATTCCCGAACCTACTCCTCCTACTCTACTATCGACCTCTCATACTCTCTCTCTTCTGCTTCTCTCTCTCTCTCTCTCTCTGCTCTCTGCTCTCTCTCTTCCTCGTCTTCTCCGTCTCTTGTCCTACTCCATCTCTATCTACTCGCGCATTCCTCTTCTCTCTTCCTCTCTCTCTCCTCCTCATCTCTCTCTCTCAATCTTTTTCTTTTATATTTATATAATATAAATATAATTTATATTATAGTGGTGTGTTTTGTAATGTGTTGTGTGTGCGTGGGTGTGTGTTGTAACAGTTATGTATATTTAGAATCAGTGTGGTGTGTGTGTGTTCCCTACAGTGTGTGTCGTGCGTGTGTGATGTGATTGTCCATTGCTTTATTACTATAAGCGTCTTGCTCACGCGGATCCTCTTAAAGAGATTGCCTTAAGTTGCTTGTCGAGATTCATGTCCTCTTAAAGAATAGTTTTAATCTCTTGTGCCATTTGAATAATTGCGGATTCGAGACGTACGCACGAACCACAACTCACAGACATGTATGCAATATAAATGACACGAAATGAGAGCAAACAAGAACGGAGAAAAGGATGAAAGTAGAGAAGTTAGAGGAAGGAAGAGATAAGAGAGAGAGAAATAAAAATGATACGAAAAAAAGACGGAAGGAGGAGAGAGAAAACACGCACACACCAAAAGGAAATTTCGCATTTATCATACATTCTCCGAAACCGAGTCCAGAATGTAGAATATACATATATTTCCTTATTTTCACCGGTTGAAAAGTTGTTGCCGCCGTGCAATTACGCTATGACGTCACGCGTGTCCGGGAATTGCGCGGGAACTCCTCTCATTGGTTGAATGAACTCTGGTGCTGACGTCATGGGCAAGCTTTAGAATATATCGTGTTTTTTCTCATACCGATTTTCCCCTAATGTCCCAGACTAATTACGTAAGATGTTCGGATTAATTACATGACAACTGTCTGCCTTACTTCCTCTGAACGGACATTAGGAGCGAGTTTAAGGGTTAAAAAACTGACCGGAAGACGCACTGACGCGTCCTCCGAGTGCGTCATCGCTGACGTCACTGTGAAGACGTCACGGATTCATGACGTTTGTCGTGTTTGAAAGCGAAGACGAGTCAGTGGCTATACGAAAAGAAGGAAAAAAAGGACTTGAGTGAGTGACTCATGCAGTACAGATTATGGGATTTGTGATTGAGGCAATGGCGGGAAGTGGAGGATGAGGTGAGGTTTTCATCCGTTTTGGTTTTTACCGCCTTACACTTTATTTATTTTTTTTTTTTACTAATATCTTCTCAATCAACGGATTTTCGATATAGTAATATAAATAAAATAAAAAAACATTCCTCGTTATTCGCACAAAAATGCCAATTATATTTGTTTACCAAAATGTTTGTAAAGAAACCTGAAAAGAAAAAAAATATATTCAGAATGTGTTCGGCCAGATGGCTTGTTGAACACCAGTCAATTCAACTTAAATATCGATGTTATTGCTTTTATTGTTGTGTGTTGTGATAGTAACACACATCACCCTAACCATAATTATTAATGTCATTTATTTCCACAACTTAATTCTTTTTCACACACTATGTCCTTAGGTTAGGTAATTGGCTAGTTACTTATGGTTAAATATCTCTTTGTCTCACGTGTCCTTATGGTAATAAAAAATATGGCTGACTTTATTTTGAAGGTCATTGTAACAGCAAAGACACACACACACACACGCACACACACACACACACACACACACACACCACACACACACACACACACACACACAACGACACACCACGACACGACACAGCACACACTACACACACTCACACAGCACAACACACAATTAAAATTTTGCTTCTTAAAACTGGACACCACGTAGAAATATCTTTACGTAGGCCTATTGTATGTTAATGCCGAACTAAAATATTGAGAGTGGAATGTGAGATATTTGACAGCGTGATTTACTTTTTTGAGTGTGTGTGTGTGTTGTGTGGTGTGTGTGATGTGTGTGTGATGAGTGTATGCGTGTGTGTGATTGGTGTGCGTGTCGTGTGTGTGTGTGTGGGTGTGTGTGTGTGTGTGTGTGTGTCGTGTGTGGTGTGGTGTGTGTGTGTGTGTGTGTGTGTGAGTGTGTGTGTGTGTGAGTGTGTGTGTGTGTATGCGTGTGTGTTGGAGTGTGTGTGATTAATGTGCGTGTGTGGATGTGTGCGTATGTGTGATCGTGTGAGTGTGCGTGACTGTGTATATATGTATGTCTGTGTCTACCTATAAGTATATAAGTATCCATGAACGCAAATATCTATGCATGTACACACCTACACATTCCACATCCAAAACCAACACACCATCAACAAGCCATACTAAACCACGCCATCACACCCACCTCTCTACCCAATTTAACTGAAAACCCCACAAACCCACTAAAAACAAACATTAGTATAACCCAGCCTCCTTCCCCCCTCCCTCATTGTCACACACACACACTCCACATACACCACATGCACACCACACTCAAACATACACACACATCACACACACTCAAACACACACGCACACTCAAAAAACACACACCGCACTCAAACACACACTACAGACACACACAAATATACACACACTATAGACAGACACCACACACACACCATACTCTCAAACACACACACCACACCTCAAAACACACACACACACCACCTCCACACAACCACACACACACACACACACACTACCACACACACACCTCAAACCACACATCTAACACACACACACACACACAATACCACGCCACACCACACGCACCCCCACCCCACCCCACACCCCCCACAAACACGTCGTTACCTCTGAAAACATTCAATATAATCCCCCCTCCCCTCCCCCCTCCCCCCCTCCTCCTCCCTCACGTTACACTATCTCCCAAGACGCGGTTTATGACACGACTATCTGTTGTCATATCACAGGATGCGGGTGTGATGTAAGTGGCTGTGCGTAAGTAAGAGAAGGCCTCTCTTGTCTTGCCACATGACGAGAGAGAGAGAGAGAGAGAGAGAGAGAGGAGAGAGAGAGAGAGAGAGAGAGAGAGAGAGAGAGAGAAGAGAGAGAGAGAGAGGGTTGTCACGTATACTGGTGTTTTTTTTTGTTTTTTTTTTCTTGGAGATGGTACGTCGGTTTTTTTTTTTTTGTCTTTTTTTATTTATTTTCTTGTTCTTTCTTTGTGTGTGTGTATGTATTTATTTATCTGTGTGTTTGGTTATATTCTTCTTCTTTCTTAGTTGCTATCTTTTCTTTCTTCTTACTCTCTCTTTCTTTCTTATTTGCTATCTTTCTTTTCCTCTTCTCTCCTCTCTCTCTCTCTCTCTCTCTCTCGCCTCTCTCTCTCTCTCTCTCTCTCTCTCTCTCTCTCTCTCTCTCTCTCTCTCTCTCTCTCTTCTCTCTTTCTCTTCTTTCTCTCTTTCTCTCTCTCTCTCCCTTCTCTTCTTCACCCCCCTTCTCTCTCTCCCTCTCCCTCTCCTTCCCTCCCTTCCCTCTACCCTCTCTCCCCTCCTCATACATATACTCTATAAACACTATCACTGACTATTCCACAAAAATAACCACAAGGATTTTTTTTTTAATCATAACCCACAAGGAATTTTTAAAAAAATCAGAACCCACAAGAAATTCTAAAAAACAAAATTAAAAAATAAAAGAAAATGTCAGAGATTGCTGTTAGTTTCTGGGCTGTTTCCACCTTATCTCCCTA